AAATTGGGCATTGATTACCTTCCATTCCCGCCCCTGTCATGCACTATTATAATTATTCCTTGCCAAGCTTTACTCAATTGCGTTTCTATATTTGTTAGTTATTTTTTTGTTTCTTCTAATTACATTACTTTCCTATTTACAGGTTATTTATTTTTCCATCTTATATTATCTATAGTAGCTATAGTAATATTATTAATTTATTTAGTTTTGTAATGTTAGTAGGATTTAATTTTTCTAATTTGGACAACCTTACTGATTGTAGTGTTCTGCACTTACAAGAGGTGAATAATACAGTTGGTGATGTATTTTCGATAAGATCGACTTTGTCTCAAAGACAAGATTTAATCTCTTGTGATAGATATTTCTAGCACCATCGATGTGCATTTGGTTGGCATTTTGCAGGTGCTCTTATGGTATGAAAGTAGTTAAAGGAAGTTAAATAAGTTTCATCGATCTATCAGGTTATAGTTTGATTTTATTCACTTTTACAAATCTATGAGAATAATTAAGCATGCTATGTCGAAGATTTGCTAATAACTTTTTCTTTTCTTTGTTGTGTCTTTTTGTGGCAACTCGATTATGGTCAACCGACATACTTCGTCGAAGGAAACTACACTCTCTGGCGAGACTATCTTGGAGATGTTGGCTTTTGTTTTTGTTTTTTTCCCGTCAGTTGCGTGTCTTTGCTCCTCGGAGCTTCTTCAGAGCTGCCCAAGTAGTGGCTTAACGTGCTCTCTCATCGTAGTCTGGTTGCATACAGACTAACGCGCTGTATTTGAGTCGATTTTGTAATTGTGTCGAGTCTTTGTCCCATGCCCTCTGGGCTTGCCTTGGAAAAAAAACACCAAATAATAGCCTCCCGAAGCCCAAGCAATTCCACCACTGTTGGTTCGTCAATTTGAGGAAAATGAACCCCCTTTGTCAAAAGGAGCGTCCTCGCCGGATCAAGAGCGACACACTCCTAGTGGCCCCACCCCACATGCAAACCAATCGCGAATCACCCACATGAATCACTGGCTATGCCAACGAAAAAGACCCCCTAGGTGGCTGGTCAATCGGCAAGCCCACTCATTCCTCATACTGTTGGTGAAATTGACGCATTAGCGCAGGGATCGCAAACTGTTTGCCTTCAAAGACAACCCAGTTACGAGATCGCCAGATCCGCCAAAGGATGGCAACCACAGCCATAAACAACGCCGATTGATGGATCAACGCCAACAGCCTTTTGAGAAATAATGGAAAGGTGTGTCGAGGCAAACCCTCCCCCAAGTACTCCAGCCCTGAATAGTCTCAGAGAGCCCGCGCAACCGGGCAATAAAGAAACAGATGTTCCATCGTCTCCAGGCTATCCCAGCAGACCGGACACCGGGGGAGCACAGAGACCTTTTTTTCAATGAGCGCCTCAGTAGTCGGTAGAGCCCGATTAAATTTTTTCCAGACAAAGACCTTCAGCTTCGGAGGGATCTTAGCATTCCACAACCGGATCCAACTTGGCCTATCCATCCAACTTACTGAGGACCACCACACACCCCTCCTTCTGTCCAACTCAACAGCCAACAGGTAAGCTGATTTTGCCGAGAAAACCCCGTATGTTGTGTTATGCCAGATAAGTTTATCAGCCACATTCTGCCGCGGAAGTGGAATAGCCTTAATGGCACGACAGGTAGATGGGTCAAACCATTGGCTAAGCTTATCATCAGACCAACGCCCTTCCCCTTTACAAATAACCTCCACCATCGAGGGGTCACCTCCGTCTGGCAAGATCCACGGATTATAGCGAGGGGGATCCAGCTGAAGCCCAGGAATCCAGTTAGAGTGGAGAAGAGAGGCCAGACGGTCATTGCCGATCTGCCAACATAAGCCCATCTCCAATAACTCGCGCCCAAACAGGATACTCTGCCACCCCCAAGAAGGGCGTGAACGAGCCGTCGCGCCCATAACCTCAAGATGAGTTCAAATGACTGATAAATAGAACACATTTCATACAACAAAATAATAAATGGAACTTAGAATAAACAAACTAATCTCATAACCTATAAGCTATTAAAATTAATTGGCAACACTATGCTACTCCTAAACACTATATGTTATATTCATACATGCACGCACTAAAATAATTGCTTTATTCATAACTTCAAAGAAGGTGCCTTGACAATGTCATCGTTGTTTAAGTGCACACAATCTCCCATTACTGTGTCTATATGGTTTCTTCGGGAGATTATTGTCCAATGATGTTGTTGGATGCCTAACATGGTAAGTGAACATGACCATTGCCTTAGATCTTAAATGGGACATGCTGGATGGTTTTAAAGGTGGACCTAGCTAAGGCCTGGCCTACGACAGAATTAAATGGATTCTTCACAATTTAGAAGCTATGGAAGCCTTCATTTACTTGCATTCAACTCATATCAATATACAACTAGTCGGATTCGACCCTAAGTAACAACCTACCTCTAGTCTACCTGACTGACTCCATGCTACAAATTTAAATATAGGCTTGATAACTAAAGCCTAACTCTCTAACACCAACGTATCCTCAAATGCCAAGAAATATTACTTACCAATAGTGAGGGATGGCTATACGGTCCGGTCTGGTTAAATTGGTCCGAATTGATCTGGTCTCGGTCCCATTTTTTCGAGGATATAAGGACCAAAAATTGGATTGGATACAATCCGGTCTTGATCCGGTCCGGTCCCAATTTGGTATTGATTTTAGATTGAGTTTGTAGGGATTTGAGTGGCTGAGGGGGGATTTGAGTGGCCTAAGGCTTGAAAGGGGGAGGAGGTTAAATTTTTGGGTGTTGGGCTCTCTTATCCGGTCTTTATCTGGTTTTCGGTCCGGTACCAAACGGGTTTTTACATCAAATCTAGATCCGAAAATTGGATTAGATTGTTTGCTATCCGGTCCCGGTCCGGATTATACGGTCCGGTTTCGGGTAAAACCAAAAAGTCCGCACCAAATAATCAGTCCTACTTACCGATTCATTATTTGTATCTAATAAGTTTAAGTCTCAGTGGGTTGAACACTTGTAAGTCGTAACCATTTACCCTAATTAAATGGAGTGCAGATTTTCTGTTAGCTTAGGTGGCAGCAAATGCAACCGCAACAAGAATGTTGGAGTTTGTAATCATCGTTCATACAAGCAACATCAAAGTAGAGCATAAGTCTACATCTCGCTAGTTAGTAGCAACAATAACAATTAGCAGTAGAAGCAATAACAGTTAGAAGCAAGAACGAGTGCTCTATGTTCTCTCCATCCCTGAGTGCTCTATGTTCAGTCAACAACAATAGGCAATAGCAGTTAGCAGCAGAAGCAATCTCCAACCCTGAGTGCTTGCTATATGTTCAATCAGCAGCAAAAATAACAGCTAACAACTGTTGTTTCACATACTTCAGATACATAGCAAAATGGTTGGATTGTTTCACATTCTTGAACCCATTCTAAACTTGGAATTTTGGCCAATTTTCAATTGACAATTACCAAGTTTTTATTTTATAACATGGGAATTAAGATCCATTCCTAGATTTTCAAATTTCCACAAGCAAACCATGATTTAGTGGTTTTAACCTAATTTTCATAACCTGATTCCCACATTTTTTCCTACCCAACTATAATATATATATATTTTTGGGGAGTTCTACGGTACCCCGGGTAAAATCCGGGGTACCGCATACCCAGGGTGATCTTCACCGTACGTTTGATCTCAACGGCTCTAGATTTTTCGTCATTAAATCACTTATTAATTATAACCATAATTACCAAAACCCTCTTACAAGATATAAATGTTTGCAATTTAGTCTAATTAATTGGTTTGGGTGGGTGAAGTGATTTTTTGGATTGATCTATTGATTCAATTAACCAACCCCAATACCCAACCAAACCCACGTCCCTAGAGAACTAAAGGACACCCTCAATCCACAGACCATCCCTAATTCCCTCTTCTTCTTCTTCTTCTTCTTCCTCTTCCTTCTTCGTCCCGACTGTCCCGCCCAGATCATCCTCTCCTCGCTCTATCAATCCCATCTCGACCCTTCAAACTCCATCTCTCCCACTCCCTATCTCTCAAACCCACTACCCACCTCCATTTGCCTTCTTTTATCCCCTTCGTAGCCCAGACTTCCGATTGGGCGCAGCAGGATGAGCAGAACACTACAGCCACCATTGCTGACTCGGAACAGGAAGAAGAAGGTGAGGATTCGGCCATGCGGTAGTCAAAGGCACAACCATGTTTGTCCATCAGTCTCAATTTCAATCGGTACATATTGATGACTCTGTTTTAATTTTACTGAATCTTCTTTTTGGGTTTTGCAGGGAGGGGCTTGTTTCATGCGCATATAAAAGCTGAGAGATCGGTTCGAGGGGAATCAAATTATCGATCTTCAGCAGGTTTCTCTACTGTTTACCCCCTTTCTGTTTACTTTCCTTCTCGATTGTGATTATTTGAATTTCGAGTGATTAGCTTGTTGCAGAGTGATTCTAAGCAATCAGGGGATGTTTCTGGGTTTCTTATGGGGGCTTGTATGATGAATAAAGGCGGAATTTTTTAGGTTTTAGCTCTCTGAGCTACCTGTGGTTAATTGGTTGGGGGTGGAGAAGAAAGAGTTGATGTCCTATTCTGGTGAAAGTTTTGATCTTTTTCACGTAATTTCCTTATGTGGTTAATATATTCAAGCTTAGGTGACTTGCAATTTGTTTCAATTAGGAACTTTTATTTGGTTCAGGATTTTGGTTGGGAAGAATCTGGAATTGACAGTTTGAGTTCCATCTTCACAGAGTAGTGATAGACATTGCAGACTTTTGTTTTTCAGTATTGTGAGGTTTCGATTTGTCGGTTGACCCAACCACTTTGGGGGGTTTGAGGATATGATTGAGAATTATGACATACAGCTTTGCATAATTTCCCTGGTTCAGTGGATATGAGATTGCTGAGTCATAGGCGTTACATTTTGGGAACTGAAATTTGTCTCAGCTAGATGAAATATCATGCTTTGGTTAACATAGGAATATGATTGAATTGGCTGGAACCAGATATCTTCAAGTCATCCCCTTATTATTTACTAGTGTCCAGACTTGTGCCTGAAGTTGTGTGAATTAAGAGTTCTTATCTTACATGACTGGTCCAATATTTAGGAAATATAAACTTAGAAGATATTTGGAATTCATTATACCTTCTTGTTATTCTCTTAGGGTACTCAACCGGTGTCATCGGGTCCCTTTTATATTGATTATGGACTGTGAATGCAGGCTGCAGCTTATATCTGGAATTCATTATACCTTCTTGTTATTCTCTTAGGGTACTCAACCGGTGTCATCGGGTCCTTTTATATTGATTATGGACTGTGAATGCAGCTTATAAGCAAGACGTATGGATTTATATATCCAAGCTCTAATTGTCATTTAGCTCTGATTCTCTTGTTTGTGAATGTCAGATGCCTGTCTTTCTTGCAGTGTAGTTATACATCACTTAGACTAGCCAATGGCGTTAACGTGTCCCACGTTTCCGCCAGCCTTTGTTCATTTTCTTGTAGCACTTTGTGTATTATCCGAGTCATGTTGAATCAGTCATCTTAATATATCTGACATGGTCATTGGATATTGCAGAAGTGAAAATGGACCATGACGAGACAGGCTGCCAAGCTCCGCCAGACCATCCCATACTGTGCGTCAACAACTGCGGCTTTTTCGGAAGCGCTGCAACAATGAACATGTGCTCGAAGTGCCACAAGGATATCCTGCTAAAAGAGGAGCAATCCAAGCTTGCTGCATCATCAGCAGCGAGTATCATGAACGGAACATCAATCACCACCCTTGGAAAGGAACCTGTTGTTGCTCCTGCTCCTGCCCCGATCATCAATGTACAAGTCAGTTTGCAAGAGCCAACACCCATCTCGGTGCAGCCATCTTCTGCTCCAGGTGTGGCAGAGAGCAACGAAGAGAAACCAAAGGAGGTGGGGCCCAACAGATGCAACACCTGCAACACACAATCGCGAAACAACCCGGGGACTAGCAGGCGTCATCTCCCCAAGCTATAGTGAATGGTTTTCTGCACAAGTTATGTTCCATTGACTGATGAAATAGTTCAGGTGAATGTCTCGCGGGGGCACTCTATGTAGACATCTGTTGTCCGAGACTGTAACGATGTTAGGTTTCCTTGAATTTGTGTGGATATAGTTGTTATGTCAGCTCTTTGTATGTCCACATTGCATTTGGGATCTGGCAGGAAACCCGAACATTGGTTTAGACACAATTACTTGATCCGTAACATGATGGAAACCTCTGTACTGTTTCACTCAATATGTCCAGGGGCTCATAAGTGTGATATAATAAAACATTGTTCCCAGGATTGTATCCCGAAAGGAAGTCAAGTATAGATATAGTTTACTTCCACTGTTGTCAAAAGCAATCAAGTCACATCTATTAATACTAATTTGTTCAAAGTACCATGACTAATCTAAATTCATATTTTACATCAAGCACCCCTCAAAAAGATACTAAACTTACAAAAGATATTAGTGTTCACATATCCATTACGCTTACAGAACACGAGAGATTACAGATAGGTTGACCATTAATAACATTAATCCGATCATATTAATAATACCCAATTGCTACTTAGTTATCTAAAGGCAGGAACAACTTAACCAAGAATAGATCAAAATAATTGCCCACGTTGTTCCAAGGACCGATTGTGACCATGGCTGCATATGACTTGTCACCAATCAAGTTGAGAAGTGTAACATAGTCGGCATTGTCAATCTCAGAAGGACTGACTACAGAAGAAATGATTCTCCGTAAGTATGATGATGGGAACACGACCTCAACATCACAAATGTCATCTTCAATGGTCAAGTGAATCAAGTATACTCTCGATGCATCACACCAAGATCTCCTCAGCTCTGTTACAACGCCAGAGAAAATGTACGAAGTGCCCTGATATAATGCAAAAGATGATGATTTGCAAAAAAATAAACAAATCAGATGCAAATCAATCACAGAAGAGATAGAGAATGATAGATAACAAACATCTTATCTTACTCACTTGATCATCACCATCCAATTGCTTTGGGATTAGATCTAGAGTTTCAACGGTCTCAGACATTGCCACGGCATTTTGATAAGTTAGATTCGTAACAAAATCATCTCCAAGGGTAAAAAACCTATAATTTAGATTATTAGCAATTGTATTAAGTAGTTATGAGAACACAAGAATATGGTTTATTATCAGTTGGTTGGGAAACCATTACTTACGGGTTCCATTCAGGTATGTTGTCCATCTCAAATATATGTCACACTGATTTCCTTCTGCTCAACCTCTATTTTTGGAAGTATCTGCACTTTTAAAATCATAAAAACAAACTATGTTAGTTGTTGTTTTGGACCACAGTGCATATTACTTTTGCAATGTTGAATTAATAACCAATTCGTGTTTCAATTGCAAAAAACCAAAGAGACTCTTATCGACTATATCAAAAGAGGATATTGTTCCGACACTAATCAAATAATCATGTACAAATGAAGAGAAGACACATCATGGCCAGGGCAAAATCAAAATAAAAGGGTGTTCGGAAGTATAAATACTTATGCAGACAGCAAACATGTGGTACAACTACAACTGGCACACGCAGCGATGGGAAACCTCCAGATGGGATGGAAAAATCGTTTCCAGTAGAGTTGTGCAACCTATCACTGCAAACGCAAAATTGAGCCTGCTTTGTAATACAAAGCTCAAACAAAATCCAGCACACAGCTAAAGAACGCAAAATTGAGCCTGCTTTGTAATACAAAGCTCAAACAAAATCCAGCACACAGCTAAAGACGTCTGCAACAACTAAGAAGAACTAATCATGTCCCTTATTTAAATACATGAAACCACATTGTATCAGAAGCATGGAAACTAACGCACCTGTGGACTGGAGCTTCTCAGAGGCCTGATAAACCTTCGCTGCTGTTGATGAGAGGAAAGAATAAAAATGTGAGATGCTGGCAAAATATTGAGAATCAACTCTTGGGGATTAGAATATTGTCGGCCAGGCACATAGGAGGACAGCCAAACCCGACCATGCAAACAACCAGTCTCCGATTGATGTCTTCGCCGGGAACTGAACACGGGCGCCGAACGGAAGAGGAAGCGGCAAAATCTTGAGAATCAACTCTTGGGGATGCGAATAGTGTCGGTCAGGCAGATAGGAGGACAGCCAAACCCGACCATGCAATGAACCAGTCTTCGATTGATGTCTTCGCCGGTAACTGAACAGAGGCGCCGAAGGGAAGAGGAAGATGAGGCGGAAACGTTTTGTTTTGTGTTTGATAGACTGTATTTCGATGGTTTTAAGTGAATGTGTGTTCTGGCCGGCCAAACCCAACTAATGGGCCTCACCCAAACCCGGCCCAGCCTTACAACTAGCCGGCCAACGGTGAGAACGCGCCTGCTGCACTGTTGGGCCTCTTCGGTGGTCGTAATATTGGTTGTTTCTGATCACAAGCCCTCAACTGCAAAAAGAGTTCTTCAATTCTTCTACTCGTCGGGCCCTAATTAGACAGAACTCTAGGCCGACTTCGATGGATTGGGTTAGTGTTATTGGCTGAAGATTTCTACGCCTTTATATATGGTGCCCAATTAGACATTTACAAAAAAATTACAACCTCTAAGGCAATAAAATATGGACATAGAATTATATAATTGATAATTGAACCCTAAAACCTGAACCATAAACACTAAACCATGAACCCTAAACCGTATACCCTGAACCCTGAACACTAAACCCTATACCCTGAACCCTAAACCCTGAACCCTGAACCTTGAACACTCAACCCTGAACCCTAAACCCTTAATCCTGAACCCTGATCCCTAAACCCTAAACCCTAAACCCTAAACCCTAAACCCTAAACCCTAACCCTAAACCCTAAACCCTAAACCCTAAACCCTAAACCTTAACCCTAAACCCTAAACCCTAAACCCTGAATCACAAATTTCCCATACAAATTTTTCACCACCTATCTGTAGAATTCGAGCAAACTCAACCTAACCAGTTATTTAGTGAATCTGTATAAACTCGAAGTTGTGGGCGGGTATCCACGGGTCGATAGGGATGGCAATGGGGCGGGGGCGGGTACCTCAGTTCTAACTCGGGTTTAAACTCTAATCCTAAGTAGATTTTATATCTTAGATTTGTTAATGCTACCACACCAAGTTCATATTTTGATATTGCACACGATTTCCACTTGTACCTATACATTGATATCACATCGTACATACTTGATACATGGTCTAATGTGGGTTTTTAGGTCAAGAACCTTGAACAATAGAGTATTAATCTAATGAACTTATACGAAAAAGAACCTCATTTATATGAGCGGTAACTTTAAACAATTTTCTAGATACTTAAATTGAGGACTTAGGTTTAGAATTTGAAAAAAATAAAGAAACAATGAATATAAATTTTCATTCCCCTATCCCGCCATTTATTTGTTTTGGATTTTCCCAAATCTTGAACCAAATAAAAAGATTTTCCCACCAAATCATGAATTTATTAATTTATGCAGCTTTGAAATAGGAAAGGCTAATTAAACCATAAAGAAAAAAAAGGAAAGGCTTGACTCGGATGGAACACGATGTCGTAGAGGACAATAGAATGAGGGTAACTTTACCTTCCTCATTCGCATACTTCAGTCTTCCTCAGATCCACCCACTTCCTCACCATTGTTCCAGTGCAAAGGCTAACGAAACCAGCACGAAAATCCGAAATCCTACCCTAAAAAAACGACAATCCAAAGATGGAGCTCCAAACAGAACCGCGACGGAACGCGTGCTCGGACTCGCCCAGAAGGTCCTGTTCGCTCTTCCCTCTCTGCTCTCTCGATTCCATTATAGCTTGACGATTTTGGTTTCTCATTTCATTTCATTTCATTTCATTTCATCTTGGTTGGCAAGTTGTTCGGATTGCAATCATGTTAGGAACATGCACGCCCAAGGCGTCAACCAATCCCCTCCGTCGCTCCTTCTTCATCAATCCCTCAAGCCCTAAGTCCAATATAAGCTCTCCGTCGCCGTCTTTCGACTCCGGCGGCGTCGCCGTCTTTCGACTCCGGCGGCGTTGCCCTGGCTGCTGGTAACATATTTCTCTCTGTTTTCAACTCTGTTGCCATAGACGAAGCAAACAAAAGGGTAGAGCTCGAAATAGTCATCCGATTGCATAATATTGTGTATATGCTACTTCTCTTCTTGGGTTGTTGGCAGACATGAAACAATTTTGTAGTTGATGGCTTGGAATGAAAGAAGGGGTGTAAATTTGGTCTTTCTGAATTCTGCTGTTTCTCTTGGCCTGTTCTTTAGATGGACAATTACCCAGCTCAGCTTTTACGCTGAACTATATTTACTATGAAATTAAGTTGGTTTTTGGGGGGGAATATCCTGATTTGGTTGGTGAATTACTAAATTGGGTAGTTAAGTTCTGCTTAGAATTTGGTCTTACAATGGAATCTAATATGATGGTGACATCTTGATTTCTCGGGCAGGAAGGTAGATGATCAGATGGAGCATAATAGCTTCAGACATTTGCAGCGACCGAAGTTCATCGCTGACAATTTCAACTCGCTAGACCAGGTAGGTACTTTTGTTTATCTGAAAGCTGTTTAAGAAAAAAAAAACCGAAGATAAATTATTCTCACACTTACGAAATGCTGTTGAGGTACTCAGTTGGCTCTACGTGTTTCAGGTCATTTCTGCATTGAGAGAAGCTGGTCTTGAGTCTTCGAACTTGATCCTCGGTGTTGACTTCACGAAGAGTAACGAATGGTCAGGTAGTGATTCTCTTTCTCAGGTATTAATACGATGTTTAGACCTCCTAAAGTCAGCACGTAGGGTAAAAGTTCATTTCAATGTGGATAGGCAGGTATTCATTTCACCGCAAAAGTCTCCACGCAGTTGGTAGTGTGACGAATCCTTATGAACAAGCGATCTCAATCATCGGGCGTACTTTGTCGCCTTTCGATGAAGATAATTTGATACCTTGTTTCGGATTTGGTGATGGTT